ACCTCTCCTCTCCTCTCCGAACCTCTCCAAACCTCTCCGAACCTCTCCGAACCTCTCCTCTCCGAACCTCTCCTCTCCGAACCTCTCCGAACCTCTCCGAACCTCTCCGAACCTCTTCTCTTTTCTCCTCTTCTCTTCAAAATGTAAGACAAATTCATAACTTGCCAATAGAACCAAAGAAAACATATTCACTCATTCATCTGTGAGTATGAGTGAACTAGTTAATGAGAATTTGCTTTCTGTAGTGTGAATTCAAAACACTCCAGGATATTTGTTCCTGATGTGGTAAAGTGTTTAGAATTGAACTCATACCTAAGACCATGATCAGGTCCACTGACAACAACTAATATGGCAATTAATTCCTTGATTAAAATGCAAATGACATTATAGTTTTTAAAGATATTCACATGTTTCTATTCAGAGTTTTTTTGTCACCCTCCTCACTTGTTGTTTGCTTATTCTATATTGTTTCCCCTTCCTTGTTTTACAGCTAGTCACCACCAATGCCCAATCCCACTGATTTCCAAAAATGGACATAACACTTTTATCTTCACACTGTTCACTTAGCAACCATGTTACAACCTATTCTATTTTTTTGTGGCTGTCATATCAATTAAATTGTAGCTCTTTGAGGTCACACCACCTACTAGTTTACATTCCATTGCCTACCAAAATGGAAGTATTCACAACTGCAGTCCATGCAGCATCATAATAAATACTTTGTGAACACTTTTAATAGCTTTTGCCTTTTTAGGGTTGAGCATGTGCATCCAATAATTTAATAAGAAAGACTGAAGGGTACTCAGCATGTCACAGGGTTGATTCTTACTTCATTAGTTATGCTTCCATAAGACTAAATGAGAGGAGGAACCATGATCCACCTGTTGTTTCAGGTTCTGGGTGTCCAGATGTTTTAAAGAGAAGCCTAGTAGTAGCAACCTGTATCCAAAGCATCTGTTTAAATTTAACCTTTGGGTATTCCTGACTTTGCACTCTCTGTAGCTGTTTGTTAGTCACTGCAAAATGGCATGTTTGCAGAGAAGTGGTTGGCTCAAGTGTGAGCACCTGCACCAGCCAAAGAAGAGTCGGGTGTGCTCTTACTCTGCTGGATGCTGAAGACGGAAGTGTTGGAATCCTTCAGAAACAGTGCTGATAGTTAAGGTAGAAAGCACCAGAAAGCTCCTCTGTTAACTAAAGTATGGTGTTCCTTTCTATGAATACATCTAGATACCAAAACATCCAGCGAACAATCGCAACAGAGCGGACTGACGATGATGCTGTGGTAAACAACAGGGTGGAGAGAGTTCCCACTGGAGGAGGAAGTGACTCTGAGGCAGAGCCTTCTCAGCCAAGCTCAGGTATGGGGGGGAGAGCTTTTGAGTGGCATGTTCAGTGCCATTCAGCTCTGGGAAATCTGCATTTCCAGGAGAGACAGGAACTTTATTATACCAGGTCGAAAGATTAATTAAAAAAAAAAAAAAAAAGACTTTGACTTGAAGCAACAGTTTTTAGACCTGAAGCTACGGGTATAAAGCTAGGTACAAAGGTCCTCTGTTCTTTTTGAACAACTACTACAAAAAAATACAAAGCATTTTTACCTTGGTAAAAGACTACTTTAAATTAAAATGGAAAAGGTGTCTGGTTTTTATTCACCCAGTAGTTGTAAAAATGGTGCTGTCTTATTTTTGCTGCAGTGTGATTTTTAGCTTGGGGCATTGCAGTTTCTTCTCTCTAGGCCTGACTTCTGCACTGCCACATTTGCTTATGTGATTGCACCTGCAGTGGCCTTGGCATCAAGTGTGAAATACTTGTGGTTTTTAAAGCTGCAATTTTGTGATAGCTATGAGCTGATCTAAGTGTGGGCTGTGGACTGGCACAGCTGTCTTTTTGCTCATCACTAATTTATGTGACAGGATCCCATACCAGAGTGGAGAACTGATCTGCCTGAAAAATAGCCTGGTTTCTTGTCCTTGTCATTTACAGACAGAATGGTTCTTTCATTTATCTCATTAGATGAATAGACAAAAATGAGTGTCACTACCAAGAAGAGGAGAATGTGTACCCAAGACAGGATGGGATGGCAGGGGTCTCTTCTACTCTTTTTGGTGATAGTCAGACTCATGTTTTCTTAAAACATTTGGGGAACCATAGCCTAAGTGTTTGTTTCAGGTAAGAAGCACCAGCAATCAGACTAGTGCCCACTATGCAACTTGAGGCCATGCAAAAATAACTCTGCTTTGTTTGAGAATTTGCACCACCAAAATGATTAACCAATTCTCTTCCTCTGGATTATTCTTACCGCTACCTAACTTTGTGTTCTGTATTTTCTGCCACAAGTAAATCTGACTTCTTGCTACCTTTTTGCCATCCCTCTCTAAATAGCACTGGCAAAGAACCAACATGATATCTGGTTGAATTTTCTTAGTTTTCCATGTTGAATAGGAAAAATTACACAAAGAAATAATAAACTTCTTTTTAAAAGTTTAGAAAAATACTCGATTTTGTTTGTTTTCCTGATCCTTTGGGTGGTTTTAGCTGGAAAATAAATTTTGTCAACGATTTTAAACATTAGATATTTAAAGCTTCCTTGCAATCTTTTGTGTTGCAATTTATGGGAGACTTCTATGTACACTAGATCATTTAAGGAGATCCCAGTTCTCCCTGTTAGAAGCTGAAGTGGAAGTAAGGTACACATTGTATTTTTAGTATTTATATGTAATGTAGCCATTACTTGTAATATGTATAGTTATTTACTATCATAGCCAACATAATAAAATAGTAATTTAATAGGAGTTGCTACTAGTAAGTATTTTGTTCAGTTCATTATGTAACGTTCACTCTTTTATTTTAAACTCAACGAGCTAATGGGTATAATAAATGTTATCATAAGTTATTAGGAAATGGTTTTTGCTATAGATAATTGCTTTGTTTTTAGAAGAAAATGTCAATATTGTATAAAATACCAAGAATGATGTAAACACACTAGAGAAAAAAAAAGCTGCAGTATGATACATTTGTTATTTGTCTTTTAATTTAAATGAAAAATGTCAGAAGGAATACATTTTAGGCACATTAATCCAGATTCTAAGCCAGTATAAATGAATTTAGTTCCAGCAATGGATACAGTCTGCAGTTTTAAGTGGATAAAATAATACAATGTGTCCAACAGGAAGAAAAAAAGTTATAATTAATAAGAAAAGAAATGGTAATCTATATTTATTCTGTTAATGATGTCTGCATCCAATTTCCTTGGACTGCAAATAAAATTTGGCTTTATTTGAAAATGCCAGAACACCCAAGCCATAATTCCATGGTAGGAAATATTTTTCTGGTGTCTGTAGAAGGTCAGGAGTTTCTATCTCTACAGAGTTACATTCTCAAATGCTCAGTTCTGATCCTGTGCTTCATTACTTGATACAGATTAAAAATAATCCTATTGTGTCTTGTTTTGTTTTCTTTACCATACAAGTCCCCAAAACCATGGACTTGCCAAAAATAATGCAATTAAAGTAAAGAGCAATGCTGGATTGGGAGATCAGATCCCTCTAAAATCAGCAATGGGGGGAACCAGTATGGACCTGGGTGACAGTGCTGAACCGAACCATCAGCTGGTAAAAACTGCTGAGGTCACATTGTATTTAGAGACAGAAGCAGCTATGACACAGAATTTCATAACCTACAGTTCAGAAAGCCGTCCAGCCCCTGCACTGCTGTGGTAAACAATGCACCATATTCTGTCAGTTTGCCAGCAGGCTAGTCTTGGGAATGCCAAGAAGGTGCATCAGGCAGGTGGTAACTTTTTTATACTGTCACTTTTGCAGCTGTTCAATAAAGGTTAAATAGACTGTGCTTCCCACTACATTAATAATATTTTGTGGTTTGGGTTTTTTTTGTCCAGAGATTAGGAGGGAAGGTTCCCTTTCTCCTGTGAATTCTCAGAAAATCACCTTGTTGCTGCAGTCTCCAGCTGTGAAGTTCATCACCAATCCTGAGTTCTTCACTGTGCTGCATGCAAACTATGTGAGTAATGATGGTTTGCTCTCTCGCACTACTGATTTCTGAGTCCAAATGCAGCGCCCCAGGCCTTCAGGGAGAATGGCTAGTGAATTTGAGTTATGTGACATAGGGCACAGCTGTTCTTTCTCAGCACCAGAGTAGGCTGGGGACACTACAGGCAGGCTGCTCCAACAAGACTCTTGCTGGGATTCTGCCTCACACAAGAAATTCCATGGTACAGAAAAGCTCATTAGCGTTTTCCTCTCAGAAATAAGCAGGAATCCTTGGTTTCAGCTTGTTTGATCCTGTTGTCTGTTGCTGCAGGGAGTAAGGTTGTTGCCTTTTGAGCCCACCATCCTGAGAAATCTTTCTCAGATACTGCCAAGTCTCAGGGAAATAGAGGGGAAAAAATAACACATGCAATTTGCATTCCCAAAAATCAGGCAGGCATAATGGAGTAAAAGAAATACTGACTTGAGTTAGTGAAGCTATTTTGGGAAAAACACTAATAAAAATGAATTTTCAAAATTAAAATATCTTTTTTTTTTTTCGTTTATACAGTAAAAGTACACATTTTCTTGCAAACCTATAGGGGAGTGGAAAAAAAATCTAATATCAGGAGGAAGCAGATAGGGGAGTCCTACGAAGAGATGCAGTCCTACTTTACCATGTCTTGAATGTAGTTCAACTAGGAATCTACACATGACTTCTGAATATTTGGAAAATCATTCATTTCTGGAGAGCAATGACCTTTCTTTTTGAAAGGAAAAGAAAGTAAAACACTTGGAGAGTCGCCTCAGCACAAGTTTTTAACTAACTACAGACATCAGGTTTTGGCTGTGGCACCTGGTGGATTGAAGCCAGGTGTCCATCTCCAAGCATGTGCCAGAGATTATTACCCACGAAACCCTACCGAGGAAGGGGATATATTACCTCGTCTGACATTACATGAACTAAATTATGGAGTGCAGACAATTTCTTACATTGACAGGGTGATATGTGATGATTTATAGCTGAGAGCAATGTAATTTTAAGTCAGTATAGCTGTTTGAAAAATGAGGAACTGATTCCATAGTTGTGTAAGGAACAGTCACAACGGTCTAAATCCCAGTTTTATTTCTCACTGAAATAAAAAAAAAAAAGCCAAAAGAGGCCTTCAGTTTGAGCTTATAAACTTGTCTCTAATACGAGAACCAGAATAATCTATTGAAATATCTGTCAAGTGCTCATACAGATTCAACTTGTACAGAAATAATGGCCTCACATAACTTTTGGCTTAACACAAGTGTAATATTTTAACCACAAGCCCCTATTAAAATTTCAAGTTATTAATTATACCAGTGAGGTTGGGATTGGAAAATATTATGTGACAGAATTAAAAGGGAAAGGCACTCATTTTTCAGATATTTTATTTCCATGGAAGGGTAAAACTACATTACACTCTTTGCTTCCCTAATGCAGCTTAGAGATACTCAAGACGGTCATTGATCATACGTTAGATCAAAATACAACTTTTGTTACAGAGTACGCTGGGATCTTAACGGTTTGTGATCATGAAGCTTTCCTGGGTTATAAGCAGGTCATATCTTCAGGGCAGAGATCCTATCTCTGTGATTTCATAACCTTTACCAACCTTTGCCATAATTAGGGACCCTGTGCTACAGGGAGTGTTCTCAGTGGTGCCACCACAGTAAATCCTTACATAATAAAGATAATACTTGTAAATTTTTTATTGCATTATAGTGGTTAAAATGCATTAAAAGGACACAGAAATTGAGAATTCAAAGCTGTTAGGTCAAATTCTCTTAACAGATTCTCTGGACATATTCCAGGTCTGCACTCTGGGGCTCACTTCACTGGGGACGTGAGTCCTCCAGTGATCTTTTATCACTCTAATGAATAATTCAATCCTTTGGGCTGACCAACAAACCAAGGCACCCATTTTCTCTCTAGTGAAAGGCTCAGGAAGGTTGCAGACTTTTGTGATGTTTTCTACTCTGTCTTGAGGAGCTTTTTCCCTGAAGTGAAAGATTCCAAGAGTAACCTCTGGATGTGCCTTTGTATTGTCACCACAAGCATTATTTTGTGGCATTCTATCATTGAATGTACTGTGGCAACAAATATAGTTCACTTTAGCCCCTCTTCTGCAATCAGATCAGCACTAACTGGCTTGAACTGCATCAGGGCACGTTACTCTACAAGGTGCTTTTAATGCCCATTGTGAGATACAACTTCCTGCCTGGGGCGTGGCATTCATCTGACTCATGGAAATGTCTCCATCTGACATGCTTTGTAGTCGTCACAGAAACAAATATTCAATTACAGGGAAACAATTCACACCTTCCAAAAATAGACAATTAGAAGTGTCTGTTCCTGTCCTGTGGCTATATAGTGACCATAGGTAGCAAGCTTTGGTGTAGACATCTGCACTGCAGTCCTCTTGAGTTCATGAATCCTATCACACGTATCTTGATTTCAATTATAGCATAAATACATGTTCACAGCTGTCTTTGCATTTCTCTGGCACCATCCAGGCATACAAGCAGTGCTTCTGTTGACCAATAAAAGTAATGAAATGGGCAGAACTTACAGGCATCTTGAGTATGTGATGTTTCAGCTGACTGTCTTTTTGAAATGTATTAGAAAGGTAGTTCATGCACAAGCTAATTGTGGACAGCGTGTGGGATGTTTCACTTTCCAGATTGTATTTCTTAATTCTAGATGTTCATGGAAAGTAGTCATTCAAATCATGAGACGGAAATGTTTCTTGATTCCAGCAGGATTTGTTTCAGTCCTTTGGGCATATGTCCCACAAAATAACCACATACATTGTTTTTCCATCAGAACTGGTTTTCCTCACTTCTGTTTTTCATCTCATAGAGTGCCTATCGGGTCTTCACTAACAGTACCTGCTTGAAGCATATGATTCTGAAGATTCGTAGAGATGCTCGTAATTTTGAGCGGTATCAGCACAACAGAGACCTGGTAAATTTTATCAACATGTTTGCTGATACCCGACTGGAGCTTCCTCGTGGCTGGGAGATAAAAACTGACCAGCAGGGCAAGGTAAGGGTGCCAACAAAACTAATCACTTGCTTAACACACCACATCAGGCTACATGATTAATAAAGTTTCCTTCCTTCTTGTCTTAAAATTGATGATGTTTTGGTTTAAACAACACAAGCAGCAAGCAGAGTTATTTTAGAAGCAGAAAAAAAACTTCAAGAACAAATGTTTCAAAGTATTTCTGGCTTTCTGCAGAATATCACAGCACAGTCAAGGCAGCATTGGACTGGCAAAAAAGTTTGAGACAGAGTAGATTTGTTGTGCCTGCAAAATTTGACTCAGTGTCTCTATGTCCAATGAAGCTTTGCTGAGTGACTTCTGGAACCACCAAATAGGCTAAAGCACCATTTCCCAATAATATTATTCTCTTCTGTCTTGTTTACACCATGGCCATTACACGTGATTTTGACCTACATAGCTTCTTTTCCAAGAGCTATTCCTGCTTTGAGTAAGACAGTCCTTTTGTTTGCAGATATCTCCCATGGACTGTACTTAACCAAGGTATTTCTGACACAATTGCCAGTGGTTGTCACGTTGTGTTCCCACGATACTATCACAGTGTTGCCCGTCTTCTTATAAAAAAACATTGTTCCTTGGTGTTTCAGTCTTTCTTCGTTGACCACAACAGCCGTGCTACCACCTTCATAGATCCCAGGATTCCGCTGCAGAACGGTCGTCTCCCTAATCACCTGACTCACAGGCAACATCTTCAGCGACTTCGTAGCTACAGCGCTGGAGAGGTAACCGTGCCAGTATCAATCCAGGAACTTTTGACAGCAGTCTTCTGTAGAACTAAAAGCACTTCTTATATTTGGAAGGCATTGAAACAGACTGTCTTATGAATTTTTATCTTGTAAAGACAATAAGTGATTTTTTTTTCTTCCTGAAGGGTTTATTTCAGAGCTCGTTGGTAACGAAGGTTTGTATTTTGATGGCTTTCAGAATAAAATAATAAGCAGTAAAATTTGGTTGAAGTGAAGTGATGACAAAATAGATTTTAAAAGAAGAATCCATATATGACGTTCTGGTCTTGCTTTACTGAAGTCAAGTCGTTCATTATTTTTGTAGCCTGATACTTCAGCAGCCTCGTATGTTTCTTCAGTCCCCACTGGGACACTGTACTCTGAAATTATATACTCCCTACCAGTAGTGTAGTTATGTATGTTGAGGTTTGCTTCCCTAGCTTCAGTCAAATTAGGCATCTTTCCTATGTTTCATGGAGATGACTTTTATCACTGAGGTCATGGACATAATTGAAAGAAGCATAAATACTGTGTTGTGTATTGTGAATTTAAGGAGGAAAAAGTACCAGCAACCAGATTCTTCATATAGCAAATCCCTACAATTGAAGATTTGTAGAGATTGATGCTGAATAGGGGTAGAGACGAATTATGGTGAAAGGATCTTCCTCTTTCAGCAAAACACCCAGAGAAATGCTTGTGAAATTAATTTATTGCAGTAGGACCTGTCTGACACCTCTCACTGCCAGCTGGGGTTGGGATCAGGAGATGACTAGGGTGCAAGGTCAGTTCTTCAGGATCAAAGGCAGACCAGGCATGAGTAGTTTGGGCATGCTTTCTCCATCTTGAGTGAATATGGAAACATATTTTCTGAAGATAGAAGTGTATCAGTGGATCTGTTTCAATCATATCTTCCCACCAGTTTAGCAACTTCCCTCTGCCAACAGCCTGCAGTTTAGTGTTGCTATTGTGGTTGAATTACTGGCATGACTGTGATAGCCACCTGCAGGGTGGTTCATATTTGGGCACATGCTTGCCTGGGGCTTACTTACAAATTCACCATGTCAGAGATGGAAACACCACTGAGCAACTCAGATGACCTAGCCCAAAAAATACACTTGGTTCTGCAAGCACTGGCAAGGCTGGCAAGGAACAATTTTCAATAAACCCAAAATATCAAGTACAGGGAAGGGAGTCAAAAGTATTTAGTACTTATGAGTAATGATTCTCTGGGGAAATTATAAACTGTTCATTGAGGCCACTGATTTGGCACAATCAGCCAGTGAAACAGGGTTTTCTGTCTCAGGAGCCGTCAGTGATGGCACTGTCACCTCACAGTCTCAGTGGCCCAGGTCCTACAGTGCTTCTGCATCCTTGCTGTAGTCAGTAGCTTCCCCTTTGGAAGTGTCTGCTGCTCCAATGGAAGGACTCCCATTGATATCCAAGGACTTTGGATTGATGCCTAAAAGCCCTTTAAAGGAAAAAATTCAACCCTTTACAATTCAGCCCATTTATTAAGAGCCTCATGTTCCATGCCATTTCCTCCAAGTGTATTTGGATGTTCTTTTGTCCTATAAATCATGTCTGTAGAGTCACACTTGGGGTTTTGTCCTGGCCATGTGTCAGCTGTCTGCAGGCCTGCTGGTTTCTTTGCTGAGCAGATGGTGTGGCCCCTGGAATCTGTCACCAGGATGGTATGAAGGACCATGAAAGACAACTAGCAGTTTTGAACATTATGTACAGATGTCAAATGAGCCTGAAGGAGAGCAGAGTAATGAAACTTGTAGGTGCCAGAGAGGGTATAAAAAAGAGCCAGGGTAATGAAATAAAGGACATCTGCAAAAACTTCTGTGTAGATTACTGATATTAAATAGCATGATATATAAATTTGTCAAAAATGCTACAAATAATTTAGTAAGCACTTCTTTAAGGTATAAATCTTTTACAGAAAAAAGGTGTTTGATGCTACTCTTGGTTGCCTGATTTTTGGAAGAAAAGTTCAGGTAGCTGTAGTGGCCATCAGTAACTAAAAGAAGATAGATCACTAAGTGATTCATTTCCTTCTGCCACTGCTATAAACAGAACAGGTCAGAATTGCTTTCCATTCCCTCTAAGGGACTTTCCATCTGCAGCGAAAATCCACATACATGATTATAGGGTAGAGATTTTAAAGACAGAAAGAAGAAAGAAGCAGGCATCCACAGTGGAGAGGCAAGAGTTGATGGTTAGCAAGATAAGCAGAGGAGGTGTTGGAATATAGCAGTATACAAATCTTACTGACCCAAACCACAGTGGGATTCAAACAGGCAAGGGCCTTTCAAATCCAGCAGTGATATAAAACCCAGGAAAGAGTATTATATCTTGAAAGGCTCCTGTGATAGTTTGGACTCTCCACTCTGGTTGCAACATCCCAGTATCAATTTCAAAGCTGTTAAACCCTGACATAAATCTATAAGATTACTTTGCACTAGATGAATCCAGTCACTAAATCATTAGAGGGGTCACTCTATTTTTTTTTAGTCGGAGAATAATGTGCTAATCGAAATTAAGTCATTCAATTAGAAAGTCAAAGTAGACAAGGCGATTGTGATCAAACACCGAGTTGGAGCAATCAATTGTACTCTATTAGCTGAAAGATTGGAAAGAAAAGTGTTAGCAAAATGAAAGTTAATTAGATGGCTTGGAATTTTCCTGCTGTGTTGCCAGAGAAAAATTGTTGAGAGGTGTAAATCTGTAAAGAGCAAACACAGCATTAACAATGCATAAGCGTGGGGATGAAGAAAAGCACCACAGAGTGTGCATTTTGTTATATTGAGATGTGTACAGAACTGGATTCTTACAACCCAGCTTTAGCTTCTTACAACCTGACTTTAACTGTTAAACCAGAACAGGGAAGAAGGGAGTGAAGGTTTCTTTTCAAGGGCACTAGACGTGTTTCCTTTCAGAATTCTTGCTTTAGGAGAAATATGTCCAGGCACTGGAAAGTTAGCCAAAAGAAAAAAAGGTATATCAGGTGACATGAGCAAAGGGAGGAACTATGCCCAGGCTGGGCAGAAATACCATACAGTTCCCAGCTGATGAGCAAATACCAACTGGTGCTAATTTTTATGGCAGATGTGTTTAATTCCTCCGTTACTCGTCCCTTTCCCCCTTTCTATCTTCTGAGCAGTAAATCCATGTGTAGCAACAAGGGTATAGGATTTGTCTTTGTAAAGGATGAGTCAGAGATCATCCTTAAAAACAGGCTGTACACCCATACAAATCTGTTCTACAAGGACCTGAGGAAGGGGCATCCTCACCTGATCTCCAGAGCTCCCTGGTAGTGAAGAAGCTGAGCACAACACAGTGCCTTAGTACCATCCCACACACCCTCACTAGTACGGCTGATCACAGGTCAGTGTGTAATTCTGACTGTGCTGCCTACAGACAGCCCAGGAAAAGGCTGCTCCCGGAAGGGCTTCATGCCCACTGTGGCAATGAATCATAGGGCACCTCTTGAACCTAGGCTTCCTCTTTCTCCCACAGCACAGAGTGAGTGCCATAATGACCACACAGCGCTTGTGAGGGGGGAGGGTCACAGGGCGAAAGCTGCCTAAGCCTGAGCTAAACTTGCAGTGTCACTTGGTCCATGGGGCTGTGAGAGGGACTCGAGGGCAGAAGATGGGTGCAGGTGAAATCATAACCGAATGATGGAGCAAAGCATTCGCCATGCACTTTCACAGCAGTTTTGTGTTTTAAATTGCAGTATGTTTAATTAGAACTGTTAAGATTTTTCATTGTTTAACCTGTGTATTGATGCGGATCAAGTGCATTGATTGGTATCTTGTTACATATAAACATTTTATGCTTTATGGGCTCCAAAAGGCAACTTGCCAAGTCACATTTAGCTTCTCAGTTTTCATTTATATTCAACTGGAAGACCTGGCATTTGGCTGTACCACTGAAAATGGGTTGGCACTGTTTGCTTGGATGCAGAACTAAGCATTTAAAATATTGGAGTCAGGGCAATTTCTTCCTGAAGCGGTTGCCAAGTACTACAATTTGTGCAGTGAGAAAGGAGCAGCTATTAGCCCAGTAGAGTGGCAATTGGAATTCCTAATGCATCTTGTCCTGATACAGGCTGTACTTACACTGCAGTGACAAGAAAAGGGGGGATGTCTTTAAACTGAAAGAGGTTAGGTTTAGAGCAAATGTTAAGAAAAAAATTCTTTACTATAAGAGTGGTGAGACACTGAAACAGATTGCCCAGAGAAGTTGTGGATGTGCCATCCCTGGAAGTGCTTAAGACCAGGTTGGAGGGAGCCTGAGCAATCTGGTCTAGAGAAAGTTGTCCCTGCCCGTGACAGAGGGGTTGGAACTAGATAATCTTTAAGGTCCCTTCCAACCCAAACCGTTCTATCATTCTTCTCTTGGGTTCACCATGGTCGTATTCTGGAGGAAGATTAGAGGCAGGAGGGTTCTCCTCAGTTTGCACAAGTCCCCAGAGAGTTACCCAGCAATGCCTTACTGAAGATTGCCAGACCTCACTGTTTGGCTTTTAATATCCTCACGTAATATCCTCAAAACTTTTTTACCTGTCTTTCAGTGTATCTGCCTTCCTGCTTCCCTTCACTAGATAGAATGTTTAGAACAGTGGCTTTCTTTAGGTACCTCAATTAAGGGGCAGTGATAAATTTCCTTCTTCCTATTCCTTTTATCAGCTCTTTAGATTATATTCTTTTTTTCAGTGTATACAATTCAAATTTTATTTCTGGTTGTGCATGTTAAGCAACCTGCTTTTGGGATGATACAGCCTTTTTCTGTCCTGTAAACTGCATAGATATGCCTTCCTCATATTATTTCCAGTATTAAATTTCCCTTCAACAATGCTGAATGAACATGTTGCAGTGTTATTGGTTTTTTCTCTTTTCAAATTAACATGGCTGTAAAAACCTTGAAGTAAATGCAGTTATGCTAGAACAAGAGACTGTATAACATTACAGAGATTTTATTTTCATTGAACCAGAGAACTCCATCACTGCAATACCTTCATTAGGTTGCATTTACTTCTGGATTCTGGTGCCTTCACTGCAGCATCAAAGAGGTGCAATATGTGTGGATAATGATGCATGTCCATCTGGAAGCACAGGATTACTTAGCTTTTTTAATTTGACTATAGTATAAAGCTATAATATTCATGCATACTTTCTGTCATTCAGTCAGCATCGTGGACCATTCTGAAGGTCACAGAAGATAAGAAACCTTTTAACTGACTGATGTGCTAGCGCTGGTCAGTTTTGGTCATTCTTTTCCTTTCCTCTGGTATTGTAGGCCTCTGAAGTCTCTCGAAACAGAGGAGTCACCTTGTTGGCCAGACCAGGCAATAGTCTTGTAACAGCTATTCGAAACCAGCACCATCATGAGGCATTACCTCTGGGTAAGCCAATTTTCTCTTTTCTTCTCAAAGCAGTGCTCACAAAAGTGCTTTTTACAACTTCTCATCAACCACACATACTGCTTCATGTTGCCCTATGCCTCACTGGCAGCGAGGTCAGTGTGCCCCTGCAGAATAATGGTGATGTGACCGGGCTCCCTCAAAGGTAAATAAAGCCTCAGGTTTGTTTTTTTTCCTTTTCCAGCTTACAATGACAAGATTGTTGCATTTTTACGCCAACCCAACATTTTTGAGATGCTGCAGGAGCGTCAGCCCAGCTTGGCCAGAAACCATGCACTCAGGTACCGCTTTTTTTCCAGACTGCTGAAACCAAGTTCCAGGAAAGATTTCTTGTAGTGGGGAAAACCAAATTCTAGTAACTGTGGTACAAAAGATGAACTTGGGCTCCATATGGAACTGTCACCATTAAAGAGTAGGTGTGGACCACCAGGATCCATGTAGTTACTGTAGTTATTTTCCATAGACATTCAAGAAGTAAGAAGAACCAAAATAACTATAGGCAAATAGTGGCATATCTAGTCTCTATTCTTAGTATTACCGAATGGCAGAAACTCTGTCCTCACCTACAGTTATCACTTTGCTTTTCAGAAGATAGAATTATAATTATGTTCAGATGGAAGTCAGCAGCAAAACTCCAGTAACTCCAGCAGAACCAGGGATTTTACTTCGTGGTTGGATTTAAACCCTAGATTTTATAAATAAAAAGGAGCATTATTATGAAGTGTATTGTACTCCTGTCTAATCTTTTTCACTTGACTTAGTGGTGGTCCTTTCCAAAGTAGTTAAATTGTATCTTTCTTTTTTTATACCTGTTCCTTTCATATTAGATTTTTTCAAAAATGAAAAAAGCAGAACCAATTGCCAGTACTATTTAAACTCATTCGAATTCCAAAGCTTGAATTAATTGTTTTGCCAAGAACTTAAGCTGGTGTTAATCAGTCTCAGCAATGCCAGTATGCACCAGCTAAGAGTTTGACCAAGATTTTAGTTTGTACTGTGCGGTAAGAAGCACAGCTGCAGGATTGCTGAAGAAGGGAAGGAGTACCTTCAAGTTCCTGCAGTGCAGAAAGTTCTGCTGGTAGCCTTACTGACACGTTGTTTACCTGTGAGGGCCAAAGAGTTCTTTGGGTGTAAGGATTAGACTTCCTTCCTGGAGGAGCTGATACGTTCAAATAAAATAAGAGAGACAGAATGAAAAATGCACTCAGTATTTAGGATGTACATTTCTGTAACTAAGAATTTTTCATCTTCACCGTCAAATTATTCCAGGCTATTTTTTTTTCTCAGCTGTAGTTTGAATTCTCATTTCCCAGAGAAGAGATGATGCTTTTATCTCTTTCTGAGCAGAGAAGAAAATTGACTAGTGATAAGGACTAGACAGCTTAGCCAGTGTGTAATGAGATTTGTAACAGGATATTGAGCCCTTTGCCTCCAGGTCATTGCCTATGATTATACTTTGGGTCAGGAGTGATCCCAATCTATTGTCTAATGCTCATACAGCAGGTATTTACCAAACTCCTAGGAGGCAAATGCCCATCTTTTACAGAGCTTGATTCTGCCCCACATTGCAGCCCCACTCAGCAAGGTACTGAAGCACATCCTTGTCTTGAGGTAGAATATTTTGACTTGATACTAGAATAAATATATTTGGACACTACAATGCTTTAGAAACACACTGACAGGCTGGGGTGTAGATATGTATCTTCCATAATCCTAATCTTTTGATAGAGTCCTATCCTATGTTTCCCGCTCGTTATTAGCAAAATGTATAATTTTACACATGTAACATATGTTTACACTGTATAATCTCTGTGTGATCAATTCATATCAAGTATATGTTAGAGAGTTATTTGCCAGATAAAACTGATGGAAGGAAAGGAAGTGGTATTATTGGAAATTCTGTTAACAAAAGTTAGCTGTAGACTTAAACAGAAAGTCTGCTGTCGGTGACCTGATTTTTACACATGAACTCGGAGGACTAGGCATCATTCTGTTTTCTAAAATACAGAACAAAATCTCTTGCTTTTGGATCAGTGAACTGAGTGACAGGAGTAGATTTTTTTTTTTTTTGCAATTTTATGTTAGTAAGATTAGAAAATGAATCAGGCATATAAGATGTTTGCCATTTTTGTAAGGAGATAAACAGGAATTGGCAAAATACCAAGGAATAAAAACTCTATGCATAGTTCATGCCATGATAATGGCATGGAGTTTTTCTGTTTCTTTTTTTCTTTCTTCTCGATAATGTCACTTATGTTTACAGGGAGAAGATCCATTACATTCGGACAGAGGGTACACATGGGCTTGAAAAATTGTCCTGTGATGCAGATTTAGTAATTCTGCTGAGGTAAACAATTTGATCAATAGCATGATGTCATTACTTACAGTACCACAGAAGCTATTTGGCTCTTTCTCAGCATAATTGAAAAGATTTTGTTAAATCAGGTCATGCTGACAGCCATCCAGAATAATTCAACCATAGTATATCTGCCAATTTGTACTTCCTGGAAGGAAGCATCCATCAGTACAGTAAACTCCATCCCAGTCAGCTCAGTCAGTATAGCTGTTACCATGAGGTAGCAGATAAAAAAGAATCAGGTCAAAATGTTTCATTTTACTGGAAAAAAATCTTGTTTCTTTTTTTAAAAAGAAAAAGAAAAGGGAAAAAAACCCTTGTCTTTCTCAGTACAATAATGTTGCTGCTCGTGAAATTGCTAGTTTTACTGCAGCAGTGCTGCCCACACATGCATGAAACCTCAATGCAGTGAGCATTGTCTGGGTAATGTAGATAAGGCTTCAGTTTTTACTGGAACCAGAGAGCTTGGTCTTTAGGTCCTAGCTACTTTTCCTCAGCACAGATAAGGACTTATTTCATTGTTTTGGTCTTACATGGAGAATGTTGCATAACCCAGGTGGTTGTGGTATGCTGTAATAGCACTGCTTAATACTAGAAGTTTACAGCTTATTCCCATCAATTTAATTTGAACGGTCAAAGCACTGAGCTGTACGAAGGCGTACGACCCAAGAAAAACAGCCTGGGAGACAGATGTGTGTATCTTTACTTCTCACTGCTAACATGTTGGAGGTGCTCCTGTTTAGAACATAGCCTCACATCTTTGCTCTCTGTCAGCAGGCTGAGCCACTGTTAGCATAAAACATCGAATAACATTCATTGTGTTCTTCGTTACTGGTGACTGGGACATATTTGGGAAACCTGTGGATTTTTTGAATCCATGAGTTCAGAGATGCACCCAAACTTATGACATAGTGGACTTGCACCATTATGCATATTTACATTCCTTCATGTGATGAATGTGAACCAAATCTCTCCCTATGACTTTCTCCATGCAGCCTTTTTGAAGAGGATATTATGTCCTACATACCACTGCAGGCTGCCTTCCATCCTGGTTACAGTTTCTCTCCTCGCTGCTCACCCTGTTCATCACCCCAAAATTCCCCAGGTAAGGAGGTTGGGAAATAAAGACAAAATCTTGCATTTTTGGTATTTCTCCTAGTAAATTATAAAGGGCAAATTTAGAGCCAGTATCAGCTGCCAGCTTGCTAATTCCAGGGACCATTCCAAATATGGCCCAGCTGCTTTTTTGTTGGATCAGTTACCAGTGCTCCTATATATCTGCTGAAATGTTAGTGGTAGATGAAACACAGGGATCAGAAGTTGTCCAAATGAAAGAAGGTATTTTCCTGCTTTTGATGTAGTTGGAAAGGATTAGGATAAGAGAACGATGTACTCCAAGCATAACTCATTGACATGGGAGCACATTCATATTATGTGACAGGAGCAAAGTGCATCTTCGGAATTAAAGGTGTTTTGCAATACTTCAGTACCCCTGTAAAGTTCAGTCTCCTCTGCTCAGTGTTACGAAAACTTCTCTTTTTCCCAAGGTATGTCTGTTTTAGGAGCTGGTGGGATCATCTTCGTCATCTAGTCTGACCTCCCGTGTTGAGCCCATTAACTTAGGTTTGACAGGAAACATATTTTCCAGAAAGACATGCTGTCTCAGAAGGTTATTTCCAGCTGTGCTATGTCTCTGTAGTTATTGTTTATGCTATAGAAATTTGAGGAGCTAATGTCTCCCTTTTGCCAAGATATACAGCCCCCACCACGGTCTCACCGCATGGCTGTGTCCAGTGGCCATTTTGAGAGAATCGACAGAAATGTGATCTGAAGAAACCCATTTTTGACTGAGCTTCTTTGAACATTCATTTAAATTATCTGATTTCAAACAAAATTAATGGACAAGAGAAATTCAAATCTTGGATGTGGCTGTGGAAAATTAAAAGATTTTTTGATGTGAGGAATTTAAATGCTGAACCCCTGTCTATAGGAGGACAGTGTTCTGTCAGAATGTCTTGTTCATATTGATGAGTTTTACCACCATTGTTAATACAGTTCCCCTTCTCCAAATCAGGACACATCATAAACAAGTTTCCTACAGGACAAAAATGTTAAGTATTTGGTACAAATGTGGCTTAGGAAACTGTTAAAAGATCTACTCTGATCTCTACCTGTTCTTGTGAAAACACTCATTCCTGGCAACATAGTGTCTGCTTGCTTATTTTTGTCACTGGTGTTAGAGCCCAGGAGAACACCCATTCTCTTATGTCCAGGTGGAAGGGGTGTGTGGGAAATTCCAGCAGAAGAAAGAGGTTTCATAAGGGATTCTCTTTACACTGTGTGTAAATATGCCTTTCTGTTTTACTAGCAGAGACAGTTAGTAATGTCCTTCCATCCTGGCAACCACGATACATTGGGCTCCCACTAAGAGTGATGATTTTTTTTAACTTCCTGTGGAGCATTTACTGCCAGATTTCTCATCAAAGGTCTTGTTCTTATTGTCTTCTGTAGTGAGATAGAGAAATGGGATTTCATGGATCCATTCTTTCACCCTTTATGGCATGGCACTTGTTTATGCAAAAGGAATAATCAGATACTTTGAGAATGCAGCCTTCAATACAAAGCAGGTCCCAAACTGCTAAAAAATCTGTTGTATGTGTGAATCATAATAGGGAAATTTAGTATTTCTCACTGACAAATATTTTTCTTGATTCCACAAAGGGGTTTGGTGTTGATAGCTGGAAATGTTTCATATACAGTCAGATTAACGCAGAGGAAACCCGATTCCCAGCTTGTCTAGGGTGCTAGGCTCCAGTGAGAAGCATTGCTCTGAGTTCCAGAGGTTTAATCCTGCCAAGTAAGGAGATCACCTGTACAGTGCAGAGGAGAGAGATCTCTTAAAAGTGAAAAAGGGAAAGACAACCTAAATGCCACTGACCATGAGTGGCAGTAAGGCATGTCAGTCTTTCTCATGCCTTTCTGATCCTTGAATTTCCATTGAGATCAATCACAGTTAAAGGCTGAGGCAACACAAGACACACACAGGGTGAGCTTAACAGTTCTTTTAGTGAAGAAGGTGCAGCCCCTGGAAGTCATTGCAATCACTGAATTATAGGAATTTACAACTCCCTTGATGCCAAAACAAAAATAATCCTGAGTACACTGTATACCTTTAAAAAGTTCCTATCAAATTTATTAGCCAGTTCTGTCTGGAAACATAAGCTGCATGATTTGGAAAACTGTAAAGCCCCTTACACCTTATGATGCTGTTCATTTTCCCTCCAGGGCTACAGAGAGCAAGTGCAAGAGCACCTTCTCCATACAGGAGGGACTTTGAAGCCAAGCTGCGCAATTTCTATCGAAAACTTGAAGCCAAAGGGTATGGGCAAGGTCCAGGTAAAATTAAGTGAGTATTACAACAAATCACTTAAATAGTCTAACACAGTATAGCTTTGTTTCTTGTCATTATTCGTTAAGACAGTGATAGGGAATGGAAGAGACACTGGAGATTGTATTTTGTACATGAACCACCAGGGCAGGATAAGATCTGCAAAAAAGTGACCTTCGAGAGGCTTTTATGTGGAGGTTTTATTTCTTATAGATTCAAATTCTCTCACACTCCTGTTTCCTACCTATTTAACAAGGATGTCAAATACCTATGATTTGCTAGTGGGAGAATCATCTGTTTAGGCAAACATCCAGTACATATTAGCAACAGCTACATAATTGTAATGATGGAATGACTCTAAATTCTTTGCATCTACATACCAGTATAACTCAGGACCAGAATATGACCCTGCAAAACTTAGTCTGTACATGCAGGTTTAACTTCCCATCGTTCTTTGTGTCAGTAGCCCTCCTGGATTTGAACTAGAGAGATTTCTGCCACTCTTCTTGTATTTTGGGGATCTCTGTGATTTGGTTGTGGAGTTTGTTTTCCAGACATCTTGTTAGTTGGCTTTTGAGTCTGTACTTACTTGTGCTCAGTCTAGTTATCCAACTTCAGCAAAGGACTGTGTGTTTCTAAGGTATTTCCTGGGCATCTGGTTGAATTTGTGTGTCAGGTTGGCTTCCTACCAAATGACATCTGTTGTGGGGAAAAAAATGTGTGAAGCCAAGAAATTTATTGAGGCAAGCATCATCATCAAAATAATTTTACAGAGTTCAGGAGTCCTAACTGGTGGTTATCATCTTTGGTGTGTGTCCTCCTAAGTGGGTCCAAGGCAGACATGAATTATATTTTAGAAGGTCTGCCTTAAAATGTCCATGAACATACGAACAAGAAGGATTTCTTGCACAGGTGGTGTTTAAAAGTACAATTCATTAAGTTGTTTTAGAGCTTGGTAGGAGAGTGAGAGATGTGTTGTATAAACAGAGGCTGATACTCCCTTTGCTTCCCCTGCTACAGAAGCAGTATTTCCATGCACATTAACTGGATTAAATCCGGAAAGTGTTTGGGACCAATTCCAGATAGCTGTGACCCCATATACACAGGAAACTCACAGCCCTCTCTACCATATTTTGTACATGGAGGTTGTTGCAGAGAGTCTTAGCAATGTTCTGAACCTAACCATGGCATTGTGAAGAAATTCACCTTTGAGGCACATAGAAAAGCCTAATGAAACAACCCACTGAAAACCCATAATGGTCAAGTAGCACATGCACCAGCAGATGCAATTTTATTGCATTCTCTGAGAACAAATGTCTCTCTTTAGCAGCTCTTGTTTACCTTCAGCCTCACAAGTTCACACAAGACTCAGTCATTAGATCTTTATTTCTACCTCCCTTTGCAGGTTAATTATACGGCGTGACCACTTGCTGGAAGGCACCTTCAACCAGGTAATGGCATATTCACGCAAGGAGCTCCAGCGGAACAAACTCTACGTCACGTTTGTTGGCGAGGAAGGGTAGGGAACCACAAAATGCTCTCAGTTTTGAAGTAGCTGTTATGTTGCAAAACACTGAGTTGACTAAGGCTGAGATTCTCTTGTTATGTAATGTTTCTTTGGTTTTGTTTTGCCTCTAAGTGATTCATCTTAACTCAAACATTTGTTAAAAATAACAATAACAATAATACTTCGTTTTCCTATAACACCTTCCATCTAGATGTCTAAAAGTGACAATTTAAGTGGTTAAATCTAATGTCATCTATTGCCATAGGTATTTTGACTGGCTGGAAGGAAAAACGCAACTACAGGCCAATGTTTACACACTGAATCGGTCTCAGGACTATAATTAGAGACCAGACCTTTATCCACTTTGTTACTCTAAGCCTTCACAATGGGTCTGGTTTTGCTTCAAAAATTTTTGCTTTGCATGCCATCTAATGATCATTTGTTAGCCATATGTGCATTTCTTGTTTCTGGCTGAAGTAAGAAACATGAATGCCATTTAGTTGTTACAGTTTAATGCACCCAGTTGGAAGGTGGAAGGAAGAGAAGTCTCTTGAGAAGGCCTTTTCTCAGGAAACTTTCTACCAGTCTTACAAATCCATGAGCCATTCCTGTATGATTAAAACCAGTTATTGTCTTAAAATGTGAGCAGAACCTTTCAAAGCCACACTGGCTCGCCTTAAGAGCTACATTGTATTTGAGGCTTAATTGATACACTTTTATAATGGAAAGACCATTGTGCATGTTTCCAGTGTTCCATATAACAAAGGCATGAAATTGTATTTCAGTACCTTTGCATGTAAAGTTTCTTTTTTTTTTCCAAAACCACATGGATAGGATTTCAGTTCCAAAGGCACCAGAACAGTAAGGATCTCAGGCAGCTCTTGGGATGTCCAGCAATTGCTGACACTGCCAGCTCTGAGGTGGCATGTCAAATGAAGGGCTTCTGGCAAGCTGAGCTTGTCTGGGGATGTGTTAGGTCCGGTGGAAAACAGAAGTCACCAATCTCAAAGAGAGTCACTCAGTGACCTCAGTATCAGGGGATTTTTTCATTCTTACTTTTTATGCTCCATGGATTCAGTATTATTTAACAGAGCTCATCTTCCACAGCTGTTTTTGCCTCTGGCTTGCAAGTAAAGCATAAACACGTAGCACACCTGAGTGTGTGTTTTCGAAATAGTGTTCTACTATGCTAACACTGGCCAAAGTCATGTTTACCCCACATCTCTAATAACTTTTACTGTGTGTGGCATGGTGTCCTCAGGAGAAATTAAAAACCCATTTGATTTGCAAATTCAATCATTCTTCACTGTTTCATTTACATCTGAAGATACATTCCTCCAGGGTTTCTGCTGCTTAGTGCTAATATACATTCTGCTGGAGGGACTCCAAGATACCAATTCCCTACTGAAAAGAGGAGTTGATGCTGTATGGCCATGTGATGCTGTATGGCCACAGCTTCCCACGTGTTTCAAAGCTAAAAGGACATTGAAAATGATGGCTTTATGATGAGTTAATGTGTTGCCCAGAAATGCAATACCTGGTCTCCCCTTGAAGATTTTTTAATATAGACAGGTGTTGCTTGTACTTCTTTGCTCCAGACATCATAAGGCTTTGCCCAGTATTTCGATGTCCACTGAACCAGATCTGTTCCATGGTTGTCAGTAGTGGGTCATGTGGGCTTATTACCATCCTTTTTTGCTGTTATGGCTTTAGTCTCACCACATGATACTGGAGCTAAAGCTCCTCAAAAAGAGAAGTACTGAATCTCCAGATGTAAAACAGAGGAGGATGGGCCTGCCTACTCTTTATGATCTTTCTGGTTGCACAAGTCAGTCATTCAACCCCTTGCACCTAGGTTTCTGTAACTTCAAACATAGTACAGAGCATTCTGATCCAGCTGCAGAGCTTTCCACTTACTTTACATTTGTTAAGTAGAAGCAGTAGTGTCCACCTCAGAAAATCTTTCAGCACATGACGTGTGGCTACAAATCATTTCTTCATATTGCTACTTGTAGGTTTATTTTAGACTGAAAAACCTACATACCAGTATTAGAGAATGACCTGTTTTTAATAAATACATCACAGATGGGTCTAATGCTCTATGCATTCATGAAACTTTGTCTTGTTTTGCTTTTTTTTTTCCCAAGTTCACGTAATTGGAAACAGCTTGATCTAAAAGTGGAGTTTAAAAAATAAAAGGAAAAAAGGTGACTCTCTGTAGAGCAAATTCATGCAACAGCAAAGCACAGCTGAAGGTGTACCACATGAAAAGATCAGAAAAGAAGAGCTTGGACATCATCATTTTATCTTGAGACACAGTTCTGTTGGGACTTGGTCTTGCTCAGCATACACGTATACCTATAGCTAAGAAAGCATCCGTGGGGTTAGATTTCGCTACATCTGCACGTGGGAGAGTAAGAGCAATTTCTGCTTCAGTCCAGGCTGTTTGCTTTGTGAACCCAAGTGTTCATAGGCAGTTCAAACCCTCTCACAAAAAATCTAGCCCCCTGCTAGCCACACAGCTGAGGCAAGGCTGAGCTTTGTACCTTCAATTTGTTAAGCCTTTGGAACAAAGGAAAACAAACTAAATAAGGGATGTGTCCCAGTTATGATTCCTCCCAAGTCAACCTGGATATTGGTGAAATTTCAGCATCATGACTTGTTCAGGACTCAGGATCAAGCTTTAAGAGGAGAGATACACCATGTTAGAAACACTTGACTGTACAGGCTGCTGTGCTAAGACAGCAACCAGTGTAGGCAAATCCAGGAAATTCACTGAAATGGTAAGGAACCTCATTTTATCTTGTCTATCTTTTCCTTTCCAGGTTGGACTACAGTGGCCCCTCCCGAGAATTCTTCTTCCTTCTGTCTCAGGAGCTCTTCAATCCTTATTATGGGCTGTTTGAGTATTCAGCCAATGACACTTACACTGTACAGATCAGCCCCATGTCTGCCTTTGTTGAAAATCACCTGGAATGGTAAGAACGTTTTATTCAGACTTGAACAATCATTTTAGAGCATTAAAAAAGTGGAAAAGCAAAACAAAAGCTGCCGGTTTGGACTAGACTACCTGTAAATATTGCTTCTATTGGGAAGAAGTGGAAAGTAGTTTGTGAAGAGGAAGAGAGGGAGTAAGTGTAAATACAAGAGCAAGCTCTGAAAAAGGAGTTGTAATGAGGTACTGCTATTAAAATGTCCTGCTCACATTACTTGGGATTTAATGTTTGTGTACTTCTGTGTGAATGTGAAAAGGACAGGAAAAAGAGCTCTGCTTAATGCAGACCTCATGTCCTTGGTCCCTTTCTAAGAATAGTAAGTATGGTCTTTCTGTACATCAAGAAGCATTGTGCTTGGAAGTTATATATTGTTCTCTGTACCTACCACAGGCCTTAAAAAAAAGGTCCAGTGAAAGCAGTTTACCTTTTCTTCCCTGACAGACTGTCCCTGTTTGTATGGGGCAAGGCCAGCAGAGTGAGCAGGTACTTTGCCTCACCAAGTGTATGTGCAAACAGACAAATTGCTGATCTTGTTTCTTTATCAAAAATTCTGAAAGCATATTTTGTTCTCCTCATTTTTTCTATCTGCCTCCGGATCTGTCTATCTTTGGGAGTTGTTTTCACTTTGATAGTTTCAGATGTGGTTCAGCAAAGCATGGGCTGCAAGCCCTGGGCATCATTTGATCCCTTGTGGGATTTCATTGTGTCAAAGAAGCACTGCCACGTGGGTTTGTTCCTATGATGTTTTTCTTTGTCAACCTCACTGACTTCTTTCGGAGCTCCTTTTTTAAAATGGAAGGCATTTCAGGCCCTTTTTAAATTGCAAATAGTACATGTCCCTCTATTCTTGTAAACAGATCCTCCTATGCTTGGCTTGCAGTGGGCAGGAGATAAAAAGCAGTTCTACTGTCATGTCTTTTAAGGTTGAAGGAGAAAAAAGAATGTTTCTTAGGACTAGCATGGTCTCTGAATTGTTGGGATTTTTTTGGTATTATCACTTCCAGCAGTGGAGCATTATGCTAACAATGATCCTTGCATTAGAGTGTTTCTCTACTGACATGAGCAGGAAGAGAGCTGCTTAGTTCTTACGCCTTGTCCACCTCCCACTACAATCCTGTTCATTAGACATGTGGTGCCTTCCCAGTTTTCAAGAAGAAATATGTTCTGACCTTTGTTCATCTTACCAGACTGCGTGGGTAAACTTTTGATTTAGGAGGCCGTTATTTGTGGAGATGTATTTTGATTTCAGGGCAGAGGACCACTTAGGCTGGCACAAACCTAAGATCATTCTGCCCACATTGTGAGCAAACTGAATGCAGGCCTCTGTCTCCAGAAATGGTGTTGCCATGTTATCTCAGCAGTAGTTGAAATAGGCCCTTACTCTTATGTGTTATAAACACTGTCATTGCAAAGAGTTCAGCTGCAATTTTCTTAAAGTGATAAATTCTTCTGCAAAAAATATATAGGTTGTTTGATCCCTTCATTTTGTCCTTCTGTGCATTGAGAGGTTTCAGCATGAAAGAGGCAGATTTTTAAATGTATCCTCGGCTTATAGCACAGCAGAAAGACACCTAATATGATTTTCTCTGGCAGTTAGCATTTAACTCAGAAATCAGCAACAGTTAGACACTTGGGATATTTCTCCATTACACATATCGGCTTCTTGCATACAAATGTTATTTGGCCTTTGGGCATTTTTGATTTTCTTTTTTTAAGAAAGATAAGTCTTTTGTCCTGCAGAAAGAAATAAATGCTATGAATGAAGAGATTTGCACATAAAGTATTGTAAATAGGGCAAGATTGCAGAACCCAAGGGAAAGATAAGCAATCCAGTGAGTACTTGGAAATATTTCTTGAACCTGTTATGGAAATAATTGGCTGAGACCAGCATTTTAGAATTAGCCCAATAGGTTTCATGATTGAGTTGTAGATATCTAGACATTCTAAATGTTGTTATGCTTATCTATGTGACTGATCTCAGTTGTTCATGTATAACCCTGCAGTGCTGTATTCAGAAGTCTGTGCAGTCAGCTAAGATAGGATTTGGACCAAGCTTTTTAAAACTCAGAATAAGACTCTCCCATAAAGGCTTTGTAGGCTAACTTCTCCAATGGCACTGTACTAAGGTGCTTGACATTGTTTGTTCATGAGGAATGGGGTTTATGATTTTCTCAGTCTTTCTGCAACTTCATTCTCATCAAAATCAGTGCTAAAACTTCTGTTTCTCAAATTTACTTGTTGATGTGATTCCAGCAGAGCCGCCTCGCTCTAACATACAAAAAATAAAGATTATCTTCCAGTTCTCAAATCTGTTATGAAGCACCAGTTAACACAGATGAAACAGCTTGAGAGTTCCAGGGTCACAGAAAATTAATATTCATAGTCTTTTCAAAGCTTGAAGTCTGATGTCAGTCATGAAAACCACACAATTGCAATTGGTTTAGATTTGCAGATTTCTTCAACTGTATGCTTTTTGGTGCTTGGGGGCTTATCATTTGTGTGAAATCTACCCTTGGCATGTATTTCTGCAAGAATGGCTATATTAAGAAGCAGGACTAGCAAAAAAATTCCCTCAAAATTATTTTACATTTTCTCTTTCTTAAGAGAACAGTGGTGAGTTTGAGATAAATACAACAAAATGCAGCAATGTGAAGTTTTGTTCATATTGGCAGAATTGAGAAATACACTGCTCTTTTTCCCCCAGCCTAAAAGTTACTGTTCTGCCCCTTTTAATGGCTTATTTCATGCTTTACCCTTTGTACAAACAGCATTCTGAGTCCAAAATGAGCACATCAAAGCACAGAGTAGTTGTATGTATGCCAAGTTATGAAAGAGACATAATGACTGGAAAATATTTCTCATTTATGGAGAAACTGAGATTTAACACCTTTCCTGCAAGCTTCCATTGAATAAGACTTTTTCTTTCAGTTAACATATGTGCATGCTGAACACACAAAATATAAGATATCACACACTTTTAAAGTTAAAAAAAAATTTTAAATCCCCATTTATCTGAAAGGACACTGTTATAACTCTCTAGACCAAATAAGTTTGGTGATACACGTTTTTATCTGCATGGTACAGGATGTACCTGAAGCTCATAGCCAGAAGAGCTGCTTTTAATCCATGCCAGTAATGAACCATTCTGTCTGATCTGGGTACTCTATCTAGCTTTTTACCTGATATTTGAAAAAATCTTCTAAAATACACCCCCACTTAAGGTAGTTTGCTCTTCTTCAAGTAAGTGGGCAAAATATTGTGCCAACTATATCTATTATTTCAGTGAAAAGAGTACAGTTTTGCCCAAAAATAACATTCATGTCTTTGCACTCGGTCAGGTGTTTTGAACAACTGAAATAGGGTGAGCCGCTGAAAAATCCTTCTCAAGTTTTGCTCAATTTGCTGGGAGATGGAGTGGTGGGGAATATTAAATGTTTCTGTCACAACCTCTTGTGGCTGAAGTCACTTGGTCTGTTCAGCCTGGAGAAGAGGAGACTGAGGGGGCACCTCATTGCAGTCTACAACTTCCTCACAAGGTGAAGCTGAGGGGCAGGCACCGATCTCTTCTCTCTCTTCTTCTGGTGACCAGAATCCAAGAGAATGTCATGAAGCTGTGTCAGGAGAGGTTTGGGTTGGATATTAGGAAAAGGTTCTTCACCCAGAGAGTGGTTAGGTACTGGAACAGGCTCCCCAGGGAACTGGTCACAGCACCAAGCCTGGCAGAGTTCAAGAAGCATTTGGACAATGCTCTCGAGCACGTGGTGTGACTCTTGGGGATGGTCCTGTGCAGGGCCAGGAGTTGGAGTCGATGACCCTTGTGGGTCCCTTCCAACTCAGCATATTCTGTGATTCTGTGAAAGTTGGAGCTGTGATATTCAGTACAGTTCCATAATGCTGAATTCCTACATACTAATAAATGACTCCCAATCACTTGCCAAATTGGCTTCTCACTTTCCTCCCTATTAACAGTTCTTTGAAAGACTGCAGATGGACTTTGAGTTCCTGAAGCATTGAAGCCCTGGGGTCCAGGATGACTGGTATTAGCAGATATACAAAGATACTTTTTCACTGAAGTGAAAAAGGTTTCTGTCTCTGATTTGAATTACTAATGTTTGATTGAATACTGTAGCTCTCTTTTTCACCAAAAGTCAGTAAATAATAAAAGATTGGTTGGGTAGATCAACTCTGAGGAAATATGTTTCTAAATTCTGGGACTAAAATGCCTAGTTCCAGAGTTTGCATAGTCTCAGATTTTCATATGGCTTACTGGTTACTCTCCCTGCCTTCATGGTGCATTTTCAAGAGGTCTAGAAAGTGGCTGGCATCTTTTCCTTGCATCTCATTCATTCCGTATTGTAATAAGATGACTTACCTAATCATTCTGTGGTACGCTGTGGTTTTCCTCAGGTCTATATTTTGTCTATCATTTTCCATATTATTTTGCTACTCTGCTCTAGCTAAGCAAGGTGGTAAACTGAACGTTTGTTTCTATGATAATTTCTGTATCATCTTCACCAAACCTGAAGAGTATTGTTTTTGTGCTGTTTCATTGTTCACATGGCTGCCATTTTCATATGTTATTATTTGGCTATCATCGTAATATCACTTAAGAAGTTCTGCTTCTTAGAATAAAGCAGTTCTCAGTGTTTTCTCGTGAACTTCCCCTCACTGCTATGAGTATTTCATCTGACAATGACAACAAAAGTACTGTTGTTTTTTGGTTCACAAGACACTGTGTTCATACTCTGCTGTCAGGTGGCAATCCAGTCTCTCTTTTTCATGTCTTCTGAGTGGGCCAGAGTTTTCCTTCACAGCAGTCCTGTCCCAAGGAGTAGTGCAGTAAGATAATGTAATACACATAATAAGATAATACATAAGATAATGTATTACACAATGTAATACACAATATCTTTTTTGAGAGACAGCACTGTACTCATGTCACAGTCATCTGCACCAGACTTTTTGTCACCAGATCCCTTAGC